CGTTGAGTACTTCAAATGGAGGCAGACCCGGAATAGCTGCACCCATTCGTTGTTCGTAGGTCTTCACCGTAGTTATAATGGGTATCTCTCGAGGTTCCAGCGTCCTCTCGAGAATCGCTCGATGAGATACGTTCGCAGCTTGTCGTTCGAAGAGCGCGGAAATCGAAACGGTGACTGGCAAATTGAAGTCAGCAAGCTAGAAGACCATCGATCATGATAATCTTACGAATTTGGCAGAGAACGCTTCCAGTAGCGACTAGGAACAGCATCCAATGCTTGTTGCGGGCGGCTTTGATAGCCGCACCAGCCCAGGTTTTGGAACGGTACGTAAGACCCGCTCCATTGGTGATGGGTGTTGGCCGTTGCGACATCGCAAAATAGGGTTGGAGGATTCTGAATGTTGAATCCAATTGATCCCACCACAAGCCGATCACAATACTGACAACTGTGGGTGCGATAGATATAGGAGCAAAAGTGGAGAAGCTCAAGCCCAACTTAGAAACATCGGCTTCGTAAACGAATGCAAGCTGAGAAAGTCGAGATCTCGCAGAGAAAGCGTTCAGTACTAACACCGCAACCAGGATCAGGATAAGAAAGCTTGAAAGAGCAAACAGCATACGAAGTCGGATGACCAACGGCTGCCAAAAGCTTGAAGATTTAGTGGTTGTGGGAGCTATTGAAGACATTTATCAGCTCACAGCTTCGATTACATGGCATTGCTGACTTACATGTGCTTGCGAGGCAATCACTGCTTGCAGTATGTATAGCACCATCCCGCATGTAAAATGTGTCATTCCTTATTCTTTGGCGGAAATCGTGATGCGCTATACGATGACCTTCTCGAAATGTTGATGATTGTGTCGGATGCGACTGAACTAACATAGCATGTCCAAGGGTACTGCCGGGGTCCATGCTGAGGTCGAGCGGCCGAAATGATAGTCGTGAGACCCAAAATACCATGATGAGTAGCAAGAAGGAGACCAAGAAGAGGGTAGCCAAAGCGATTCCGATCTCTTGGAGTACCATGATTCTATTTTCGACCACTGTTGCCTTCCCTTTTGTAACTTCGACGCGTGTTACGTCGGGGTCGTTCAAGGCCTCGCGAAGACACTCCGTGAAGAATCTTCCTTTGACTCTTTCTGCGCGGGAAATAAACTCCCTGTCGTTCAACATTTCGGTAACGTTGAATGCATAGAGAGCGCCAAGCAGCGGACCAAGCCCAAAGAACTCTGGAGCGTTGGTCGTCATGTTCGGATCGGAGTAAGGGCCAAGCTGGCCGCCCAGAGCACGGTCCGCATCAGTCGCTATGCTTTCGGCGTTAAAATAGTATTTCCAAGTGTCTTGTAGTGCCATCTCTTCAAACTTAGGGATGTCTATCATATCTTTCGTGATTGACACGGGCTGAATATGGTCCGACTCTATGGACGTAATGTTCGGCTCTTTGCCTTGGCCTATTGAAGTAGTAGTGTTGTGTGTTTCCATAGAATACTGAGATTTGCAAAGCAATGCCTTCATGCGAAAGTCAGGCGAGCGTTCATAGGTCCTGTTGAGCTCAAGTCCTGTCCCTGCCGCTTCACTCAGCTCCAACCTGACGGGCTTGGTCCACGGGGTGTTGAGAATGATGATATCCCGGTCTGCACATTCTGGAGAGGCATAGTGGCGCGCATACGGACTGGTCGAGGAGACGTTACTGGGAAACGGCATTCTACCGAGGGGCAGCAGCTCATCCTCAATATAGAAAGTAGAAGTGTTTGACCATGTCAAGCCTCCACGCAGTGCCAGATTAGCCGCAGGGTGAACGGTTATTTCGTGTCTGCAACCGTCGTCCGATGCTAAAGCAAAGACTACCATGGGTTCTACGCCCTTGTATGGCCCGTGACCCATGATATCGTACTCTTTGTATTTCATCGGCACAAGATCAGCGCTTTCTAGCGTCATGTCCCGACAACCTAGGTTCGCATGTATTGTCGTTGTCTCTGCCGTCCAGGAGTTGAAGCTTGATACCAGATCGGGGCCGAGTTGTGCTGTATCTGTAGACGGCCAATTCGGAAAGGTGATAGAAGTATCTTTTATCCATGCTGAAGTAGAGAGATTCCTCATCAGCGCAGACGTAGTTCTGAAATAGGTTTCTCTACTGGCAACAATGGGCAGTTGGAGACCAATCCTGGGAACGCTTCTGCTGATGTCAAGCGCTTTGGTGATTACAATCTCTTCGGATGTAAGAAGGGCGGATGACAAAGGAGATATAGCGAGAAGGGCCACCACATTGATTACAGCCGTGCAGATGAGACACCAACTGGTTTTACCGACCGACTTGCGCTTGAGGACGATATCCAGTAAGATAGCCCACCAGGCCCTGGGCGTTTGGAGTAATGTACCGTAGGCACTGGCGCCTTCTGAAGGTGCTCGAGCTAATCGAGCGAACGGCTCCGTTCTCTTGGCATCTTCAAATAGGATAACCGTGGATTGTGTGTACAGCACTGCTAGCAGAGTTGGTGTGAAGCGCCATCCGAACAGTACTGCAGAAGATCCGTCATCGGCACCGAGTCCGTAGTGGTGTTGCGAGTACCAAACAAGTAGCGATATTGTTATGCCCAGGATGGCGGTGGCACTTATCGGGATCAATAGAGAATACCATCTAAAGGTAAATGGCAGCCAGCTCCCTTTCCGATACGTTGGAGCTTGTGCTGGCAAGTTTGTTAGCCGCCTAGATCTTCAGAGGTAATTGATTACTAACCTGTGCCCAAAGTCATGGTATCTGTCGTAGACTGAGCAGACGAGTCCGCTTGGACTGAAGGCACATGACCTCCTAATGTTCGATCCATAACGACAGATGCTCCAAGTGCGCTCAAGCGGGGTTGGCCCAAAAGAAAACTTACAGCGACTCGGTGGCTGTATCCAAGGTTATCGCACAGAGAAGCGCATACATAGAGGCTACTTAAGCCATCTTCGTCTGCTGTTCAAGCTGTACCTGCATCGATCGTCCGCGCAGATAGATTGCGGCACAGCACCGCTGATTCCACTTTCATACTTAATCCGGTACCGACATAGCGGATGCGCAGAGTTCTTGAGGCTATCGTGCAATAACATAGTTGGCTAAGCGCCCGGGTGGACATTGGGATTGTTGCAGCGGTTCGCGCCAATACTTCAGCGTTAAGCACGCGCCGCGGTGGAGGGATCTTCCGTAAAACCTTCGAATGGGCGGCAGGATCTGGGATCCCCGTTGCGCATGACAGAGAACCGGTCGAAACGCCAGGTAAAAGAATGCAGGTAGACGCGCGATTGTCATATGAAGTGAAAGCCTGCCCCGAACCTTCCGTCGCGTCTTCCGTTCCCCTCACGGGTGGGAGCTCCCGTTCTTCACGTGGGGGCCAACTAACTGTATCGGGCGTAGCGTCGCGATTGTGATAGGGACAAAATCGATCCAACCATACCTAGGTACGTGATTAATCTGAAGGCGCTGTAGCATGAAACAATTACCCCGTTTATCTTCTCTACATGTGCGAAAAAAAAAATTAAGTTCTGGTGTTGAAGCCAGACACATTGTAGCTGGAGGTTTGGCCACCTGGACAAGATCCAATGCCTACTAAGCTAGACTCTCGCTAAAGCTGAGAGGGAGAAGGACGCGATGTAGACAAGCGTGTTGTATATCTGAAATAATGACGTCTCAATAGATGGGATGAGCAGTGTCTGCCTAGGCAGGCATGCCTAGGTACCTTTCAAGTTTCTCTTTACCAGAAATTTGAGCAAGAGTTATGGTTCGAGAATATTCGTGGAGGCGCATCTTCAAGATGGAAAAGACCGATGACGTTTCATTCAGTCCAATTTCTAGCCGGTTGTCGAAGGTGTTTTTATATCTCAAGAGTCACTGTTCAAGGTGCACCGCGTGCGACTACCTGTCGACTCAAATACCTCGGTACCCCTGCCTTACCTACAGCCTTTCCCCTACCCCGTTGTCTACGCCAGGCCGCTGCCGCCCGTCACTTACATGCGTAGCGAGATTCCAGCAACTTACGACTCCGAAGAACATCGGTCCGCAACGCGTCGTCTATCTTCGCCTACCCCTCTCGAACGCTACTCCCAATGCAGCGCCATCAAGCGAGTCTGCACGCGAGTGATTGGTGGGTGCCTTTCTACAGTCTACCCATTATACCCGTGTTATCAGAAACAGGGGTGAGCGAGAAGGAGCATTCGGGCATGTGGTGGGCTCAGGCGCCCTCGCAAGGGTAGCCGATTCATAGCATGTGCAGAACCTTAGGTACGTAGGTACTTGGATACGTGGCTAACGTGTCGACAAAGACAAATCAACGTAGAGGGCGGAACATCAGCCACGTCCGCTTCGAAATCTGTGGGTTTGATGTGCGAATGGTATATTCCTCGCGTATCCATGTGTCTTCAGATTGGGCGACTTACAGCGCCAGGATGTTGCTTCGGATCGCAACGTTCGCTTACCCTGGTTGCTGCACATTCGCATCATTTGCCAAAGTGTACGATGAAGTCAAGACGGTATTTGCATCCGCTTTCTTTCAAATTTCTATCACTCGTTTTGGCCACCAGCTTCTTTGACGACTGAAAATACATGTACTCAACTACTTGGACGACAGTGTCCTGAAGATTGCAAACGGGAGAGGGGAATATCAGATAATGTAAGCTTACACCATGCTCGACTCTATGCCGTGGAACTCAGTTTTGCGCGCCCTTTCGCATCCGATCTAAGCGGTACAGCAACATCGTTACACCGCCCGCTACACTTAGCCGCACGCGATTAACCGATGGTCATGCGTGAACAGCGAGCGTTTTTCTCACTATACTCAATGTTTCATAGTACAGAACCCGAACGCCTTACGCCTTGAATTCCAACACTTGAGACCCAAAAACACGATACCCTTCCGCTCGGAACTTCATTCTTATAGCACAATGTGTTGCTCGGCACTCGGTTCGCTTGTAGCAAGGCGCTACGAGAGCTCGCTCGTAGGATTTAGCTGTCTCGCTAGTACGATTCAGATAGCTGCGAGGTCGTTGAGTGCACAGCTCAGCTCTCGTCTCGCACCGAGCTCATCAATGCCGTCATGCGGCCGGTAATGGTGTGCGACGATCCGCACCGTGGCCCGGTAAGTCTTGTACCTATTACTATCAGCATTGCGGCCTTCTAATTACCCGCACTTGGTACTTACATCAGCATCCTGACCCTCGCGCCCCCGGTCTTCACAGGGTAATCTCCCAAGCCGGCGAAGAACGCTTCATTGCCATCCGCGATACCGCCGCTCATGAGAGGGTCGCCCCAGATGACGTTCGAAAATCCGACAAGACCTATGACCTGCTTGGTACGTTCGTCGATGAGCACGTTCTCCGGGTCGCAGAGATTGAGCGCTACAAGGCGCGGTTCGGTAACTTCTTCCAGGCAGTGTGCGTGTTTGCCAACCCAGAAACGTATAATTTCGGAGTGTGCGTTAACAAGCATATCCTCAGCATCGCGTAGTGCGGCTTCGAGGAGAGCAAAGAAAGCCTCGCGCCAGGAATTGCTGCCCTTTTTGACGAAGACACGGTGTGTCATACCAAATTGGGTGGCAGATAGCGCAGTAAGAGCGCGGACATGTGTGCCTAGTGTGTGGTCGATGGAGTTTCTCTCGCTGGTCGAGATGTATGGCGCGATTTCCGAGAGCTTGCGACCAGGCATGTGGCTCATCATAAGAAATGGTGCACCAAGCGGCCCACCATGGCTATCATATTTGATGATTTGGGGCACAGGTACTTGTGTATACTCGTGCAATGTCTCGAGTGCTTTGCGTTCTGTCTCCAGGAAGTGCTTCTCATGCCGGAGGAGTCGGATGTTATAAGCTGGTGGGCATTTGAGTATCAAACAGCTGCCATCTTGAAGTCTTGCGAGATAAACCTGGTGTATGCACCCTTGCTGGACTTCAATTTGCTGAACATTGATTCTTGAGGACCGAAAGACTGCTCTGATGACTCTTTGTATGCTGGGAAAGTCGACTGTTGTGATAGCAGTCCGCGAAGATGCTGATGAAGACGAAGATGAAGACGAAGTGGCCGAAGAGGGCCGAACGGGCTTTAGAGCGTACGTTCCACGGCTCATACTGGTGAGGGGAAAGATTGCAACATCCAGTGGGGGAAGATGCATTATGAAGGGCCGAGCAGCGACGTCCTAGATTCCGGCGGGGAGCTTAGCGTGATTCGAAAGTGGAGGCCTGGAGCTGACTGAATGCTGCATGTCGAGGACATCGCTATGCATTAAGAATGTTTTGACGATTGCGCAAACAAAGTCAAGGCCAGCTCTTTTCTCATAGAATCATGGATGCTCGATCTGAACGCAAAAATGTCCCGACGAATGTCGGAAACAAAAGCATAGCAACGCCAGCCCGAGCAAGACCGACTTTGATAGATCTCAATTGATGAAGCCATCTCCTTGGTTCGGCCATACCGAATCGCATGACAGTCGACACTTAGTAGCACATCTGAAAGTCCCAACCAGTCCCCGAGCCATATCGACTATCCTCTCGCCGAAGCACTGCTCAGCCGAAAAGCAAAAGTCTATCATGCGCGTACGGAACTGGTAAGTAAGCGGCATATTCTAAGCGAATTGTTTAGCGAAGGCGGATGTAGAGGCGGAGAAGGACGCGTGAGGCGTTCAGATTGGCGCTCTCAGCGTTCGTCAAGGATACCCACAAGTGGCTAGGCACCCGATGAGGATATCGCGTATCGCGAATTATGATTGGTTCTGCCGACAGACGGCTGAAGGATACCATTGACCGACATCTTTCGATAGCATATCCTTAGGAATCTGAGAGACGATTGGATGTAGGTTTGACAGTGCAAAAAATAACGCTGTGATTAACGCAGTGTCATGTCTGTACGGGCCCTCAACTCGCCCGGCCCAATGTTTTACGTAGCTAGTCAACTACTTCCACACATCCCACGCCTGTGGGCCATTGCTGTGGCGGCTATGTAAGCCCGCACGCAGTATGCACCCGGCAGTTCGGAGACGAGTAGTAGCAACACGCCGGATGTCAGGTCGATGAGTAGGTGGCTACTGTGCTCACTCCGATGATCCACTAGACGTTTGCCTCATCCCAAGAGCAAACGTATGCAAGCCACGGTGGTCCCGATCGGAGATTTTTTCAGTTTGTGGAAATTGCTGCGCGAGGCGTTCTAGCACCACGACGGCTGCCCCACGCACCGATTCCACTCGTCTCCTTCTCAGACACGTCCATTCTCGATGTTCCCTGACTGATCATCGACCTGAGGTTTGACAGAGTGCAACGGCTGACGAAGCTCCTCGATGTTGAAACGTTTGAGCTGCTCGAAGTCAGGACCGACCACACTCATACCTAAGACATTCTGTCGGATGTAAGCAGCTGTCAAGATCTCATTATGCGGTGCATGTGAGACGTGTGATCACCACGTGGGGTATGACTATACCTTGTAAATTTCCACGAGAATGAGAAGATCGTAGTTTTTCAGGTCGACCTTGTGCCCAGGACCAACTGCAGCTGCGATTGTATTGATGACGCCATCTCTCAAAAACTCCTTATTGTTGCGGATCGATGGGCGTATCGCAAACTTGGGTAACCACACGTTAGCGGAGATCTTTGCACGACGACACTACATCATCTGATAGAAGAAGCTAATGCTCACTTTTTTCCCCGCTTGATCTGATCCATGGAAGTGAGGCGCAAGGACTTGTTTCGCAACAGCCTCAAGACCCTGTGGCGTGGCTTTGTCGGTCGCAGTAATTGGTGTTAGTCGCTTGACATAGCGTAAGTTTTTCGGCTGAGCGCCATCTGCAATATCTTGACAGATCTTATGTACGAAGGAGACAGGTTCGAGAGGTGAGCATGTCCTAAAAAATATCACTTTCTTGGGTCAGCCCGAGCGGTCGGAAGTGTGATTGGCTATCCTCACAGCACTGGGTGTCGAGTTTGAGAGATGTGAACAAGGGTTTCGTAGTCGGCTTACGAATATCGGCGAGCTCTTTCTGGATCTCAGCTTCGATATCACCTCCTTCCGAGTCAGGGCTGTCTTCTGCAGCCGTCCCATTGGAACCGGCGGCGCCGTGCAGGGTAGTAGCGTACTATCATGAATCAGCATCACCAGCACTGTCGCTCGCGGATGGTGCAGCATCAAGATATCGCTAACCTCTTGGAATAGATCCCGCAGATCAGAGACAGATTTTGCTTCCTTCTTCATAGCGCATGTTGCCCATATGCCCGCATCACCGGGTTTGATAGTTCGAGACTGACTGCCGTCCCTGCGGGGCATATCCCAGTTTCTTTTACTCTGATGTCTCGGATCAGCCTGATGAATCTCACTGCAGCTGCATGACGAAAATGGAACTGGGAAGCCAAGAATGCAAGTACGGGAGGAGTTTTGACAGTGGTACGAAGAAAAGAACTCACCTTAGCTCGTTTGTCGCCGCCGTCGTGCCGCTCGCGGGGCTCGGCTTTCCGCTTCCTCGGGTTACTCTCCGCTCCGGACATTTCAAATTATACGGGTGAAGCTGTAGGGTGGGCGTGATGTGATGGTAATTGGAAGGCTCGATCGAAGCCACCTGCACCCGACATCTGGATACACGGGAAGAAAACAGAGGCTAGGCTTGTTTCGTCCACTAGCGCGCCTACTCCCGCGTTAGCTACCTAGGTACCAAGGGACATCTCCACCCACCTTCCAAAGTGCCTCGCTCTCACCAGCGCATGCAGCCTCGCGCGGTCTACCCTCTAATGTCTTCTGGAGACACACTCGACGGGTGGCGTCAATTCTAATTTTACTTTCCGGGATGCATGTCGGCGACCTTGCACGTCTGGCGGTTCAATGACGCCTCTAATTAAGCCTTTACCCTGTCTATCGATTGCCGCAGCAATGCGACCTACCATGTTATCGCTGATTATCCCGTCATTCTTGTGTCAGACGAAAGCCAGATCCTGTCCACTCAAATCGCAGATGCTGTCAGATGCAAGCCTACTGATTATATGGTCCACGAATTCAAGGGTGCTCGTCGACGGCTTGCGCCAAACGTTCAATTTATTCTGCGCTTCTCAATCGCCGTGTAGACAGTACGATATGGGGGTGTTCCGTTACATTGGAGGGATGAGCTATCAATAGGAATGAGGATCGATCTCAGAGATGACTAGATAGGGATCCTGCGCCATCTCTGGCTGTCTTTGCACAGCACGAAGGAGGATTCCCAACGACCTAGTTGACCGCCGAGAAGTAAAGGGACTATGCGAACAAGTACGACATGCCTCTATTGGAGCTCACTACTAGTTCTAGGGAATCTCAACAGTCTTCAACATTCTGACACCTTCGATCTCATACAGAGACACGACAGCTAGCACCCTCGGCTTTGTGCAAGGACGGCAACCCAGCTGCACCGCTTTGGCGAGAAAGCTCCACACCACAAGAGCTTTAATAGGAGGATACTCGGAGAAGGTTTGTACAAAAGTTTCCCAAGTTGGAAAGTATGAAAGCTCACTCTATGGAATCAACGCTGCTCGAGATATGCTCACCTGAGAGGGCGAGGTAACAAGGCGTAAGCTCGCTCTTGTCATTGCAATCGGTTGCCAATATGCACACCATGTTGTCGAAGACACTGTTACACACGTAGCGTAATGCTGAACTTCAGAAGGATCGATACTGTATCGTGTTGTACTTGTGTCTCGAAGAAACAGTGGCAACATGATGTGTATTCAATATCCCTCATCGATCCGCAGACTGTCCAATCCACGTTTGTCCAGCATGCTTGTACTTGAAGTACTGATTGCTATCACTGCCTGGCTCTTTGAACGGCCAGGTCCTGTACGCTTCCACAAGCTCTAGAATCATCTCGGATGTTAGCATCCTAACCCTGAGATGCTCCATTTGCAGTCTACCACCTTTCTTCGGATCTTTCAAACTAGGACAATCTTTTATAATGTCGCTGAGGCCATGTTGCAGCTTGTCGAGAGCATGATTGATACCATCGGAGGGGTGCGCGAAGAGTCCGAAGATGAAATCTCGCGCCCACTCGTAGAAGTCGGGGGATCCGCCGACAGGCCTGGGAAAGGGCTCAGCGGAGACGAGGGCCAGACGGCTCTGGGGCCAAGCCTCATTTTTACGCATGACGAGGGGCTCGAAAGGACGGGAGTCGGATTGGAGACGAGGTGAGGGCGGCGAGCGTATGGCGAGGCGGTCATCGATCTCTGTTGCAGGTACCTTGGCATAGTTGGCATTTTGACTGTCGAGGCCCTGCTTCCACTGGGTTTCAAGCTCGCTTAGCTCGGCCATTGCAGCGGCTTTTTCAGGGCCGTCTGGCATGTCAACAATCTTGCATTCGAGCTTGTATATAGCCTCGCCAATGTCTGCTATGGATGCTGCCAACAGTTTCTTTCTCTGAGTCAGCGCCATACCAGTACTTTCTCTGTAGAATTTCCGTATGTCGTCCTTATAAGGGTGGTCAGGGGGTACCGGCCGTTTCGTTCTTTTGCCTTTTGCATCTGTCGGGTCGTTAAGATCGACTTGTGGAAAGACGTTGATTACACGTCTCATGAAATCGTAGTATTCGATGAGACCAGGTGAAAGCAGGCCAATGGGGTTTCTACCCGCCAACTGTTGCGTGCGAAGGTAATCTTGAATTGTTTGAAAACTGGTTACGCCTGTGCCATTGGAAATCTGGTCGACTTCTTCAGCAAAGTCGTGGATGTGGTCGCGCCGATGTGATGGTAGCTCCATCCCATTCTCTTTTCCTTTCTTCAGAGCGCGGACAATGGCCTCGATCTCGTACTGTGGTTCACGGCCCGAAGAGGCTCTGCCCGTGCTGCGTGAGGCGCGCTCCGGTTGGATGAAAAGGGTTGTGTCTTGTAACATTTGCATGAGGCGGTTTGTTTTGGTCATTTCGTTGATAGATTGGGCAATCATGCCGCTAAAGTCGTCGTGTTGTACCCACAGTAAGGTACGAACCATGCCAAAGGCATGAAATAGATCGTTTGTCCAGGCAGCGGAGGCAAAGTGGTAGGCGAGCTGTTTCGCCATTGAGTCAAAACCAAGGCCTGGAAGTCTTGGATCCCATGCCAGAGAGCCAGTCACTAACAGAGTGTTGTTTGG